ACTTTTGATTTTAGCAGCTACCTCCATGAAGAGGGTATCGCAATTCTCCAAGGACGGCTGCCCATCAAATTCAACTTTTAATTGGCGGAGGCACTCCTTCAAGATAGCAAGCGCGGATATCGAATTCCCGTTCTGGGCTTGAACTCGGGCCAGTAGAAGCCAAGCAGGGGCTTTGTCTTCCGCGGTTTTAGCGCCGTTGAGGATAGCATTTGCAAGGTTGTGAGCCGCTGCATTATTTCCCATGTAAATATAGCACTCAGCCGCGCGTAAATGAAGTTTAAGTGTTTCCTCGTAGTCGACGTCATCCGGACCGTCCTCCCATGGATTGGGCTGGAGGAGCATTATGGCACTATGGTAGTATTTGGCAGCTGTTGACCTTGCGCCGCTCTCTACTGCCAATGCCGCGCATTCCATCAGATGTTTCCGGTATGGCTGACGGACGTGAACCTTGCACTTGATGATTTCTACAGCCTCCGCAATATGCGAGGCGGTATTATCCCTTGCTTTTACCTCGGTTCCATGATGCTTCAGCAAGGTCTGCGCAATAGCGAAATGCATTTGAGGGGTATTGCATTCTTTCAAGGATGCCGCTGCTTGGACATATCTGTCGTGGGCAAACCGGAATCTATCATCGGTTTCGCTTTGTACAACGATACAAGCGTTGATCGCCGCCTGAAGCCCTGCCACTGCGTCCTGTTTGGAGTACTTGGTACGGTAGAGCGTGTCGTTCTGCCCGTAACCACCATCATCGATGGGGTCGAACGCGCCGTTTAGAAGTTGGCAGACTAGCTCGAACGAAAAAGTGCTACCTAAAAGAGCCGCCCAGGCTAGGATAGAACGCGAAGCAGCTGGAAGCTCACTCAGCCTGCGAGTGATGAAGTCGTTATTTAAGACATCGTAATTATCTTCACCTTTAAATTGCTCAAAGAGCCAATCTAGATTGAAGTCCCACCTATTCTTTTTATAGTCGTACCATATACATCTTTTGCGGTAGCAAGCGCTCAACATCTCCCTCATGTAAAAGGGATTACCAGCAGTCTTGGATTGGATCACGCGAGCGAGATTGGCAACATCCTCCTGGGGTCGACATAGTGTCGATGCTACGTACTGTAGGATCTCGTATTCGGTCAACGGTGACAGGACAATCCTAGTAATTATTGGACCGCCGGACTTGGGATGTTCTAGGACTAGTCAGCTTGGATCGCTCCGATAGGTAAGGGAGAACTTGACTTTTACCTTCAGTCTCTGCGGGCTGGATAATCTTCTGAACGGCGTCTGGTGATAATTCATCAGGCCGGTAAGTTACTATTAGTACCATCTTGAGTCGAGCTGAGACCACCTGAGTAATTAACTCTAAAGACTCTTCGTCTGCGAACTGAAGATCGTCAAGACACAAGCAAACGAAGTGGTGCGTTGTGAATATTCTCAGTATATCCAAGAACGTATTCATCAGGCGAATCGTCTTCGTAGATGTCCCGGTCCGTAGAAAATCTTGCGAGCTCTGCGATGTTACACGTGGACTCTGAGGGCGTGGTCTCCCCGGAGAGCTCACAGGAGATGAGCTGCGCCTGCTCATCGGGGTTCTACTGATCCGACCATTAGATAGACCTAGTGTCGGTTGTGGTGGGAGGGACGCTCGGTCTTGAGAACCGAGGAGAAATTCGGGGAGCCCAAGTAAATTATGGAGCATCGGCCATATTGGACGAACGTAGTCCTTCAAGGCTCGATGGAGAGGCGTGTCCGTGTCGCTTTCACCCCATACCTGCTTGAATAGAGAAGACACCAATTTCAATAACGGCCCAAACGCTGTTCTCCTGGCCGCATCGAATTTTGCAGTTGCACAATATCCTCTCCGCCTGGCATCGGCTAATACCTGCTGAACGAGAAAGCTTTTGCCTAGGCCACCAGCGCCCTCAATAGTAACAACTTCGCAGTAGCCTCGCCGCCTAAACTTTGCCGAGCCTAACTGCCTTGAAAGGCTGTTAGAAGTCTCTGTGCCGCTATGGCGAGAAGAAGATTGGCGTTCACCAATAGCATCGAGAACGCTTTTAGACTCGAAGGTGACTGATTGATGCTTGTCTAATGGTTTGGATAACTTAGGAACGGTGTGGCATGAAGATATTGTGTCGCCAGAGGCGGAGACAGTCTGTGTATCTGTTCCGTTAACTGAAGATCGAACGGGACCTACAGATTGTTTTGTATCTGATAAGTTAGTTTGGGTGAAAGAGCCGCTTCGCCGGGTTCCCCCTTCAATGGAGCTTGCACCTTCGCTTGAAGCATCGGCGGCGTCGACGAGCTCTGTCGATAAGCCGGAACCGTCCGAGTAACGATTAGTAGCCGCAAGGCTAGCAATAGCTTGACCCCTCGCGACCCTTTCGAGCACTTTTACTAGTTCGGCATGCTCTTTCCGACGTCCAATCATAGCGGTAGGTAACATGAAGAAGGATGAGATGTCCTTCGAAGCAATATGCCACTCCTTCAGGGTCGTCCAGTCGCCATTCCCTAGGAATTTCTGTATCATTTCCAAGTCATGGCGTAGACCGCTGGCCGAGTAATAACGATCAGAAATATTTTTAGACGTGCATTTTTGTATAATGCGACCAAGAACTTCAGGTACATCCGTCCGAATATTCGACACTAGTGGAATGCGGCGATTTAGCACGCACTGGACGATATCTAACGGTGTAGCTCCGGTGAAGACAGGTTGTTGAGTTAGGAGCATCCAGAATAATACACCTAATGAATAAATGTCAGTCCTCGTATCAGGCTCTGCCGGCATGCGGCCAGTCTGCTCGGGGCTGATGTAAACCAATTTATTCTTTGCCCCTAGTTCCTTAGAGAGCGTTGACCATCCAGTGCTAGTGAGTCCGTGTTCGAACGACCTGACCCCCGAGCCAAAGGATATTAGCTTTACCTTATTTGTCTCGATGTTGAAATGAAACGCATCTGCTCTGATCTCTCCATGGACCATATTATGGCCGTGATGCAATATCTCTAGACACTGGGTAGCGCCGATGGCAAAATCGAGAAAATGCATCAGGCTGATGGGAGTCGCTAGACGAAAGTCATTCTTGCGATAGGCCTCAAATCGGTCTTCAACCTTCTTAGCATAATAGAAAGCCGGTCCTAGATCTAGAGCCTTGAAAAGATAATTCTCTCCGGGGTGCTCGTAAATGGCCACGATTATAGGCGCACGATCACCGGGTTGCGGATTTAGGCGAAGAAGGTCGATGGGCTTCACATTATGAATTCCATGCGGATCAGCGGTGGAGATCAGATTCTTAGCTATGTGGAAGGTCCTCTCTTCGCGGAGGACATGGTAGGATATTCGCGCGACTATATGTTGCTCCTCGACGTTGGCTAGATCGGTAGCAAGACTGGAGAAAGCAGGCGGGGAAGCCGACGAACGCTCGCTACTGCCTTCGCTCTGGGAGAAGAAGCCGACATGGACGTCGCCGGGCGATATACGGCTCGAGGCTAGTTGTTTGGATATGGCAGACGGACTGCTTAGGTTCTGCAAGGGTGTTGTCGTAGTGGTTGAATAGGGCGATACAAATCTTGTGCCATATACGTGCCTATACAAAGAGGGTCCGCGTTAGACAGCTACTATTAACTACACATGCGAGCTCTAAATCGCATTCGGGAAAAGGATACCAGTTGTCATAGCTTGAATGAAATGGCCTTCTCGATTCATCCCAGGTAAAGCCGCCTAACTGTCGGAGTCGTTCGAAGATCCTTGCTGGGGGATCGAGTTGGTCTTCCGGCATGACCAAGGACCCGTCCATGACGATGATATCTCGACATACAGAGGTAGGCCGGGCACACGGCGGGGTTTATCGGGTAAAGAGTGACCAAGATGCCGCCGTCGCGACACACATGGTTTATCCGAGTCACCTTCAAAATCTAGTGTCCTCAGGATGCCGCTTAAGATTGCTGTTTAGGATCGCTAGAGCGTTGATCTCTCCGCCCGGAGCTTTTGTTTTAATTTGTTCCAGAAAATCAGGTGCACTAGTGTCAGGGTCCCTCATCCACCAGGTTTGTAAAAGAGTGTGGTGCTTGTCGCTTAAGTCCTAGGGACCGCTAGCATTCGGGCGGTCAGTTTGTTCTATTGTACATCGATGTAATCCAAGTTCCTATTCTGAATTGGCCACAGTGTTGTACAGGAAAAACTCGTATAATAAAAAGCAGTAGATGCAAGAAGAAAGACTATTGCATAGACTACCTACAAGTAGTTGGATGACTAACGCTTATACCTACCGGCCTACACTATAGTACCTTCTTACAGGTAGTTAATATTCTGCCCAGGTTTGCCCTTTCCTCTGCCGCCCACATCCCGTACTGCCCTAACAAGAGTTACATAACTAACCCCTCTTTTGCCGCTACAAAATTTCGGACTTAGCATATATGTACTGTAGTCCTTCCGTTACTGGAAAACCTTTAGCCCACCTGCTCACCCGCATTTCAGAGAGGAACGCCTCTGACGAAGTTGTGCAGGAAAGAAGGAAGCGCAAAAGTCTTGGCAGCGAATCCCAATTATCCATGTATTCTACCAGCGCAAGGGGTTGATACAAGTGGCAGAGTGCCATATACTTAGTGAGTCTCATACTTAGTGCCACTCCTAAATCCAACAGTCCGACAGTCCAGTGAACCTAATCCGGCCCATTTACGACTTTCTTTTCGACAACATTTTCAAATGAAACGTATAGTAGTAATATTATAGTATTTTACAATTTTACAATAATGAGACGATCGGTAATTTCTCATGTTTTACGGCATGTAATGATTTAATCCTTAGGTAACAAACATAAACTAACCGGTCAGAAACTTATTCAATAAACTCCAAGAACTACTTGCCTTCAGCTGGACACTGCAAGGCTGACGGCAGATGACGATGCCATGTTGTGTATCTCGTATCATATTAACTTCCTGATTAATGTCTAAATCGATTGGTCGATTCTCACGTAGCCACTACTATTTCTGCATCGACGAATAGTCGCAAGTTGTAAGCTCATAAGTTTATTTCTATTCATTAAAATCCTTTGGGCAACCTAGCAACATCGGCTTTTGGTGCCATCTCGTTATTGCAAGATCAAGTCAGAATCGTTAGAGTATCCCGCCACCTTCGCACTCGTCAAACATGAATAACTACACTCTATGTAGCTCTCAACGAAAAACTTTTTAGTTCTTCTAATATCTATTACCATAAATTCAATAGAATGCGTGTGCCTCCGGGTCATTCCTCGCATCTAGATAAACCTTTACTTCGAGCGGGAGGGTAGAGAAGTACCGTTCTTCTTAGCAGCCAGAGGACCTTGGTCAAGACGACGCTCAGTGTTTTGGCGGCTGTTGACGAAGTCAGGGTAGTTGAGCGTAAGCTCAACAGCACCGTTGACGATGTGGTCTGCGGCCTCGACACCCAACATAAATGAGTGGTCCTGGTTGCCAACCTCGTATCGCCAGCTGCCGAAGCGACCACGGGAGTAGATGTCCAGGTCCTGAAGCTTAGGGAGAAGCTGCTTCAGGACACCCTCACGCTCAAGAGTAGGTGTGGGGTAACCGTGGTCGAACTTGCGGTGGTAGGTGGAGACAATCTCGTCTTCAGGCTTGATCATCTCGGTGTTGATCAGTCCCTGGATGCAGTCCTTGAGCAGGTTCGCCTCGTCGACGGGCTTCAGGGACGATTGCGAGACCTCAAGCATGATAGACCAGTAGGGTCCTTCCTTGGGCTCTGTGCTCGTAGGCTTGCTGCCGTTGGCGATTTGGATGGTGGGGAGCTTGACATTAGCCTCGGGCTGGTTGTAAGGCGAGTAGTTGGAGAAGATGGTGGCGCGGTAGAAGGGGCAGTTGTCCTCAGGGAAGTATAGCTACAATAGTCAGTTATGATCCAGTTCATGCCGTTAATAGGATGGAATGACTTACCCAGCACTTGTCGCCAATACGCTCTGGTCGCGCACCTCGGAGACCAACGCCGATGACGTGAGTAGAAGAGTAGAATAGGCCCTTGCTTAAGGTAACTAGCTCCTGGTTGCCCATAGACTCGACTAGTTGATCGACGTTCATGGTGGAGATAAGCTTATCATAGCCGATAGTAGTACCATCCTTGAGGGTAACGACCTTCTTGTTGGCGTCGACCTTGGTGACCTCACCCTTCTTACCGAAGCGCTTCTTCTCGTCAGGGAGAGTGTTTGCGACAGCGATCCAGATACCACCAGTGCCATCACGGGCAGGGAAGCGGAATGTGGCGTTGGGGCCCCAGTTTCCGGCAACCTTGTTAAGAACGACATTCTTCACCACGTTCTTGACGTCAGGGGCAGCGACACGCTCACCCAGCCATTGGCATTGCATCTAAATTACGAGTCAGAAACAGATACGAAAGACTAGCCTATCTGAGAGCGTAACTTACCTTGGTGGTGGGAACGGCCCAGACCTTGTAGTTGTAGGGCCTCATGAACATGTTGGCAATACCGGAACCAGTCATGCGCATGATCCACTCGTCGAAGTCCTTGGGCTTCGTGTTTGAGACGCGAACCTCGAGGGCAGCGTCGATCAAGCCGTCGAGAGCTTCGACCTGATCCTCCTTAGGCAGCATGGAGATGTTGTTCTGGAAGGGGTAAGGAACCCAGAGGCCCTTGTAGCGGACATAGGAGATACGCTGGTGAGTATACCAGTCATCTTCCTTAGGGAGAGCCTCGTCGATGCAGTCGTCGAAGTACTTGTAGTGAGAGAAAATGACGTGGCCACCAACGTCGTAGAGCTATAAAGCAGAATCCAAGGTTAGTTACTTGCTAAGCACGAAGCACGACGAGTTTAAGAATAGTATAGACTTACGAAGCCCTCAGGAGTGACGTCTGTAGAGGCAAGACCACCAGCCTTCTCGTTGGAGTCAATGATCAGCCATGAAGGGCCGTTCTGTTACAAAATGTTAGCTTAACATGCACATTAGCTTGAAAGGCGGTGAAGACATACCAGCTGGTGGAGGCGCTTCGCAGCACCTAGACCCGTAGGGCCAGCACCGATAACGAGAACGTCGACGTTACTGCAAGAGCAAAGGTTAGTCAATTAGACTTCACTAAAAAGATAATATACACAAAAGCTCTTTCTCCTAGATATGGAACTAAGAAACTTACATGTCTGCACACATCTTGTTGTTGGGGTTGTCTGGGTATAGTTTCCAGTTCGAGGCAGGGAAGTTGACCAGGTCAAGAGAGGTCTTTGAAGACAGAACTGTCTTTACAAGGCGGCGAAAAGAACGGATGAGAGACTATCCAAGTCAATGAATGCTGCAGGATAAAGTCCGTCTAGATCTATGTTATAACGCGAATGGGATCGTGTGGCAGGCGAGGAAGATTCGCAAAGGAAAAGAACCCGAGTCGTAAGAGAGCAGCGTGGTGTTTTCTATAATATTTTGGAGGGGTTACTAGATAAACTAAAATTGTGGATGATACTTAGTTCCACCCTAAGCTGGGTGCAGGCTTGTGCGCCGCCCCACGCATGAAGCCACCCCTGTCTCTCCGTCATGCAACTTGGCAACATTCATCCGTCCAATTGGATGGGGTCTGATACCTAATTCGGTAAAGATGGTACCTGCACCTGCATGCTACTCTGTGTATATATTGTTGTACATGCCTTAGTTACCTTGCTAAAAAGTACCCGACTCGTCTTTATCAGGTATCATTATTGCTACCTAATAGAGGCATATCGAATAAAACCTAGGCCTTCCAAAGCAGAAGAGACCATGTGGAATTTTACCTCATGTTGTATGTACATAGGTAGGTATGCATGGAGTACAACATGGAGTAAACATGGAGTATTCGAGCAATCGAGACTTTGTATAAAACGGTGTGGCTAAATCAAAGATCCAAGATAAAGTTATTCGAGATCAATCTTTTCCCTTTTTTCCCCTCGCTAACAATTTTGAGACGGATTGTTCGAAGTACATAGGTAGGTAGCTGCAGGGACTAGAGGTAACGGGTTTCCCGTCGAACTCTGCTTGAGTAGCTAGAGCCGCCTCGCTATCATGATTCGCTTGAGTAGTGAGTAGCACGAATTTTAGTATGTGTAAACACCGCCTAGTTACCGCTAGTTTGCCTCCTCCTTGGGCAACCATTGACAAGTCAACAAGTCAGGGGTAAGTTCAGGAGACTCTTCCCTACCTGCCTACATACACAATAAATTCCTCAAATAGGGGGGAGGGAAATGTTATGACGATCATTAGTCGCTGATCTATTAACTTACCATGCTAATCCATAACGGACATCGCATACATACATTATACATACATGCCCGCATGTGAAGAGAAGGCAGGATGGCTGGATAGGAGCAAATTCGGGATGTGTGACTGCAAATCGAGAGAAATACCAACAAGTGAGGGTTGATTGAACACCGGGAAATCCCTGTTCGTAATCTTATAGTAAGATGAAGCTCATACCCGTCCCTTGTACGCGTCAACTAGGTATCGAGCCTCCAAAGTTATCGTGCACGACATTTTAGGCTGGACACCTGAAATAGAATACCTAGATAGCATGTGTGTACTGTAGATTTTCTATAGCGTCTTGGTGATACCACGTGTGCATGCAGGGCAAGATTGGTAATGGAAGCTAAGCATCGTTTACCGGTCAACAACACACACCGTTGTCATCAACCCCGACGTTTCAACCCCGATGTTTCTTCCCGGTGTTTTCTCCCCGGTGCATTATACCAAACTCCACAGTTGAGCTAGTTATATCAGGACAATTCTTTTATGGTATGTGTCCATGTAGCATGGGCTCTCGGCGAGTCAGGCGGTGGGAACACTTATTATGTATGAGTGAAGTACAAGAAAAAATTCCACCTGAGGCCAGCCAGCTCTAGAACCCCCGGCATCTAAGTTGGTGTTGAGATTATCTATGAAATAAAATAATTAATATCGGAGAACTGTTCTTCTATGTATGCGCGGATTGCCACCAGTGCCACCACCCCCTACCCTACGGTCTACACCATAGTCTGTCTGTCTGTCTGTCTATGTACATACACCTCTCACTGGCTTATCCACTCCTGTCACTTTGCGATTAACGTGTTGCATTCGTCACCCAAATTGGGACTTGGAAGATCGTTTAATTTCGATAAGGTCGTGTCCCGCCCACACCCAGGTCAATGGCTATTTCTAACGTCCCATGTACCTATACATCAGCCTTTGTCGATCTTCTTTTCCGCTCATAGCACTACCAAGTTTGGCTGGTAAAAGCGCATCCCTCTCAACTTAGACTTCTAGTTGGAGCCTCAGGACCGGTTAGCTCCGCGAGATCGACGGTCAAGATTTGCAAACTCGCCCGAGCCGCCGTCTCAAGTTTATATGTTGGCCCACTGGACCGCCTGGCGGCTCAAAAAGAAATATCTCCAAGTGGAAATGCCCCAAGTTTCACCTCCGCTGAAACCAAGTTCAGAATAGCTTCCTCTCGAGTGTGGTGTATATGGCTATCAACTAAAGGACTAGCTCTCCGCCGGTTCCTGTACATAAGAGATGATGATAGTCCGAACAAGGTGGGGAAGCTAGAAAATGTCGGACAGTTGAATATGCAGATATCTACTGTATTGATCTGATCTTTGACACTATCTATGTATTATGGCTTGATGGCTTAGCATTATTAGGGTAGTTACTATAAATATTCGTTACAAAATTATGGCGAACGTTTCTTATATCGGCCGATAAGTACATGTAATATCTTGTTTATCTGTTTTAAACTATCCGATCTTGCATTTCGGATACGAAGTCAACCTCTAATCAAATAAGAAACAGCAGTACACTACTTCGGACATGTAGGGCTTAAGCTCGTTACCAAACAAAGCAAGCAAGGGGCAGGACCTCTTACATCATACCATCATCTTGCATAATCCTGCTGTATTCCGTACTAAACGAGGCATTAACTAGAAAATGACATATTTTAAAACCTCTTATGTGCTCCACGTCAATAATAATTATATTGAACTGCAGGCATAACAAACCGCGGATAGGCCCTTTTATAATCAAGGCTAGACAGGCCTGTATTGCACGTGGCTAACAACGTTCAACGGCTATGAGCACAGGCCTGAGCCCTGAGTCCTAACAAACCTATCTAAATATGTCGACGGTCAGAAGCTGAGTAGAAGCTGTACCTCAATAAAGAATCAACGAGCATAGGGGTCATAGGTCATATGTACCCCTAACCCAATACAAGTTATTTATCTGTAACATGAGCAACCGATTGCCTGGGACGCGGGATGCCGCTCAGCTATGCCACTCAGCTAGCGGCAAGACATTGACTAGAACACAAATTATCAACGACTCAAGTTTTTATTTGAATAAAAAAAAATAAAATAAAATAAAAAAAGAGCAGATGCGCGGCCGGCGTGATTCGCGGCGATGGAACGTTGAACATTTGAATTATGTCAAATCGAGAGCCTCAGGCCGTGATACGTGGCCTCGAAGTTTATATACATGCTTTGCATCTCGTATTTTGGACTGAAGAGGATTTGATGACGTCCGATACGAACAAAACTTTACATACCTACGTCCAGCGCGACGAGCGGCCAATTGACTAAATGGTGTGGAAGACCCCGCGCAGCCTCATTATCTTTTTCTCACGATAGCCTCTGATAGCCCTAGTCCGTAAGGTATTGTACCTAACCTACCTAAGGAGGTACCTAAACTGACCCGTCAAAAAACATGGTTGGAAATCGGAACTTTTTTGCTTTGTTTTTCGCGGTAACTACGTCACAGCGGAGTAGCAACGGTACAGTCTGGACTCTGTAATTTTATCGATAGCCCTAATTTACATAGTCTAGTGTATGGGCAACCTGCTTCAGATATGACGGGCAGTAGATGAAACAAGTCTTTTCGTGGGTTATTTTCCGGCTCGTCCGTACCTGTTTCTATGTATGGTATCTTTCCATCCCACTTCCCCATCCACCAACCGAGTATAGACTCGTAGTATACGAGGTTGAGTTGAGCCGAACTGATAAAATACGGATTACAAAACAGGAATAGGGAACACGGAAGAAGCCTAAAGCGTAACATATTCCTTAGACTCGACTTTTAAGTAAACGAGTGACGAACTCGCAGAGCGTGAAGAATGCTATTTGTTATTGGAGTTAAAATGATCTGGTATGTCTATCGCGAAGGTTGCAAGACCCTCCTGCTTAAAGAGTGTTATCTTGAAACAAAACTCTCTAATGTGAACCCACAAACAGCAACCAGCTCAAAGCATTGCAATCTTCTAAAATTGTATTGGACGACCACAAAACTCACTCTTCAGTCTTCCAAGTCCTTGTTCTGTGGCAGTGGCTGCCGTGGGGAGGGATATCCAAAAATGGGCTCCAATGATAATACGGGTTAAACCAATGATAAAATGAGAGCCTCCTAAAACGACATCAGTGGCTGTAGATTGCAGGTTTTAGATATTTCCTCATCGTACACTTATCCCTTTTGGGCAGCACTACGCAATTAATTAGCCCCTGACTCCCCTGGCTCCCCTAGATGCAGGGAATTCCAGGGAATGAGCTTTAGTGGGGGTGGATATGTTAGATTGTGGTTTTGTACCTGTACACGTACCCTATCAGCCTATCTTTACCGGTAGCACAACAGCTGCCACAGTAAAGGGCACACCAGCCCGAAAAGATGCCTGTAAGTTGCTTGTTAGTGAACGGAACGCACTGATGATGCGACCGTGTTTGAAAGCGCTAATTCAATTGGGGCGGGTCTGGGGCTAAAATTGTGCGGGATAAGCTCTTGGGATCACAAATTGCTACAAGGTACCGCATTACTAGTGTACCTAGGTACAATAGGTACCGCTTGAAGGGTGGCTAAGGTGTGCCTGGGTAGGCCTGTCGACCGTAGAAGCACCTCTTCTCATTCTGAAAATTTATTAGCCGTACCATCTCTTTTTTTTCAATCCTCTCTCTTTTTTGTCCATCTTCTTTTTTTGTCACCACTGCTTTCCCCCTCCAGTTGTTGACGAATCTCTCCTCCGCACCACAAACAACTTCTTGTTTTGAAGTTTACGGAAGAGAGAAAACAAAAGTTGACAATTCGGCAACAACTGAAGAAACTTGTAAACAGTTACGCCACCCCCCAAAATTCATCTAAATCTTTAATTGGTCTCAGCAGGCTTGGCCTTGTCGCTCATTCATTATCCGTGTCCTCTTCAATTCATTCTACCCCTTTCTTAGTTACGTCGCACTAGCGAATCTTCAACCTTCACTTTCACCTCAAACGTGAATAATCAATACAATGGCAGACGAAAAGACTCGCACCTCTGGTGAGGTCCCCCGACCGGAGTCAAAGGGCCCCATCTTGCCCACCACGAACCCCGAGGCCGACAAAGCCCAGCCTCCCAAGCCGGCCATCCACCCGGCTTTCTACGTTGCGTATGTCGAGTCTTCCCCGAGTCAATATAATTACACAATTCAAGATCAATTCAAGATGAGGACGCGTAGCTAACAAGTTGCTACAGAGTATGGATCAGTCTTTCATCGTCTGTCATTCTGTTCAACAAATGGATTCTCGACACCCTCGAATTCCGTAAGGAGCCCCCGAAAGATGTTTACCTTGACTTAACTGCCGTAAACGTAATCTAATAGTGTTCTAGGTTACCCCGTTATCTTGACCACCTACCACTTGACGTTCGCGACCATTGCGACGCAGCTGATGGCGCGCTACACCACCCTCCTTGACGGTCGCAAGTCTGTCAAGATGACTGGACGCGTCTACCTCCGTGCTATCGTTCCTATCGGTGTCTTCTTCAGCTTAAGTTTGATCTGCGGTAACTTGACCTACCTCTACCTCAGTGTCGCGTTCATCCAGATGATCAAGGTATGAATAATCGAGCAGGTGTGATTATGGAAGTATACGTTTGCTGACGAAGGATTACGATAGGCCACCACCCCCGTTGCAGTCTTACTTTCCAGCTGGGCTATGGGTCTTGCACCCCCTAACCTCAAGCAGCTCCTCAACGTGTCTGCTATTGTTGTTGGTGTCATGATTGCCTCGTTCGGCGAGATCCGATTCGTCTGGATTGGTTTCTTCTACCAGTTGGGAGGTCTTCTGTTCGAGGCTATCCGTCTCAACCTTGTTCAGGCCCTGCTTAGCTCTGCCGAGTACAAGATGGACCCTCTCGTCTCTCTATACTACTTTGCCCCCATCTGCGCTGCCATGAACGGCGTCGTTGCCCTCATCTGGGAGATTCCCAAGGTCTCCGTTGCCGAAGTTTACCACGTCGGTCTCTTCACCTTCTTTTTGAACGGACTTTGCGCCTTCCTCCTTAACGTCTCAGTTGTCTTCCTGGTAAGTTTCAACGTCTCAGAGGAATCACTACAAGCACTAATAAGTTGTATAGATTGGCAAGACTTCTGCTGTTATCATGACCCTGTGCGGTGTCCTCAAGGATGTCATGCTTGTTCTGGCCTCCATGCTCATCTGGGGTACCCCTGTTTCCGGCCTCCAGGCTTTCGGTTACACCATTGCGCTCGGTGGTATGGTCTACTACAAGCTTGGTATGGAGGCTATTAAGGGATATGCCGGTGAAGCTGGCCGACACTGGGCTGAGTTTGGTGCCACGCGTCCTGCTCTGCGCAAGGTAGTCGTCATCGCGGCAGCACTACTATTTGTGTTCATCCTCTTCGGTGGCTTAGCCCCCAACTACGCCTACGACCCTTCGCAGTACCTTTCCGGTGCTGCTGAGAAGTTCGGCGTCTCCTCATGAGCGAATGTGTCAACGAAACCTCTCCTTTCACCGTATGCCTTTGTAATCTTCTAGGTGGATGGGAGTTATAACTCGGGTTCTAATGAGAACAGGGTCTGACGGCGGAACGCTACGTGACGACCTTGTATGCGTTTCTCCTGATTTTTCGGGTACATAATTGCACATTTTCCACTTCATCTTCGCAGGGGATGGTAGTAGTTGGAGAGATTTTCCTTTACGCCGTGGACACTGATGAAAGGGTAGTCAGCACGGTATTTTATTGTACGGCTATAGATAGCAGACATGGCGTCAATTGCAAGGGTCGGGTTGCATCTGCTCGCATTACGACAGACAGGGCTAGTCTTCATGTAACTTAGAGAGCCTAGGAGGTATTAGACCTGAATGGAAACGAGACTAAATTTGCACGTTAATTTAATGGATTTTAATGATGTTAATGTTTCTACGTGGTTAAAGTGCTATTGTCTTAAAGTCGGGAGTTGAGCGCGATCTTGAGCATACCTACCCGGGGAACATACATTTAGGCTATCTAATTCTGGGCAGCACGAGGGGGTTAGTATAATGAAGTATAATTAATTACAAAACTCCCTTGCAGTATCGAAGTGCTAGGCCGTAAAAATACAAAGAGGGCTTTTGGGATTCTACTAGGATATGGCTACAACTATCCTGTGCTGCCGTATGAAACAGTTTGATCCGTTGGTGACGGAATCTTATATGCTCGCCACTCCACTAACCATCCAACCTACGTACAACTCGGACACTAGTCCCAGAGACTCGGGTGTAGTACAGGCGGGCGGACGGGCGGGCTCGGTCAGTCTCAAGTTGATGAATAGTAAATCAATTACTAGGAATCCGCAAGCGAAAGTAGCACCAGTCACATATGTACGGCCGAGACGTAGCAGGTTTCATTCATCAGATGTGTTCATTTTTCATGTTTCTGAATTCAGAGCAAGACCCTTTGAGGCTTCCTAATGCCATTGATGATGCGATTTACATCCCAGACCGAACCCCCTTAAGACCGAACGACGGAAGTATGCAGACGAAAGGATTAGAATTCTGCGAGAGGAGTTAGCATTATTTCTCTATATTTTTCCATTGTTGAGAGTGCGAGGGGAATATCGAGGTTAAGGTGGGCATAGGTAAGTAAAGTAAAGAGAAGAGAATAGAAGAGGGACACGTACTCAGGGGCGTGAAGAACCATCTGTTCTTGCCGCTCGTGTATCGCTCCTCGAGGACCTTCTTGACGTTCTTCTTGGCGTCCTCGCGCTGGCTGACCTCCTTGAAGGTCTCGCCGGAAACGACGCCCTTAAGGCCCTCGAGCTCGAGGGTGTATCGTGTGGGCATCAGGTGGTTGTAGTTGATGGCCTTGATGAAAGGCTTGATCTTGGATCGCTTTTCCTGTCGCGCCTTGCCCATGCGCCGTGTGATCTTAGAGGGGTAACGCTCGATACCTGCGACTAGGGCGTGGCCGTAGGGGTGTGCCTTGTTGCCGCTGTCGACGGGCTGGATGATGACGACCTGGAGAGTTGGTTCCGTTAGAATAGCGTTCCCAGTTCCTTTCTGACTTAGGTATATAAATATATCGATGTGTAGTAAAATCATGAGGGGCCGTATATGTGTATTTTCTTGTGCTTGTGCTTGTGCTTATACAATGATTCCGACGCGGCTTCTCAAAGATCGCGGTTGTGCCAAATTCAAATCCATCATATCCAACGAGTCTTTATTGCTTATTTCTTCGAATAACAAAAATTCTTTTTTTTTCGTCTGGTACGTACCTTCTTTCCGGCGTATCGGCCACGGGTGATGATGGCTACTCGGCCAACCTTTAGGAACTTCATCTTGTCGGCTCCGCTGTCGTCGTTTGTCGAAAGGGAAGTCGAGGTGTTGTCGGTGGGTTGGCGAATTGGTCGATTGAGAATGAATTCGATAGTAAAGGTTGTTTGCGATGGGCTAAGAAAATCCAAAATGTGCCTGAGAAAATTAAGCGAAGAAAGGGTTCATTTAGTTGATTGGCCTGATTGTGTGGGGTGGGGCTTTTTCGGGCTGCTTCACGTGGTCTAAGCTTTTAAAGCAGTAAGAGTTCGATTTCGATAGGAAAAGTTAAAGTGGGGGAGATATGTTTTTACTTATATCGATACTTACATCGAGACTTATATCGAGAGCTCTACTCATAGCCACAACTATAAAAGACGTTTAACTTGTTAACAATACGTTACGTCCTTGCTGTAACATTCGTTTAAATGGCTCCCCCAACATATATCATCTCCCGTGTAGCGGACCCTATCTTTGCCGTTGCGATTGGACTCGGAGCAGCAGCTACAAGAATTAACCGTGAAGGCAAGGAGAAGGGCAAAACGACACAGCAGACAGTCGAAGCCGGGAAGAGGTAGATATCTCACATAATACATAGTAAAATGAGCATTCCTTTCTAATTTAGGTTTCATTTAGACGAGTCAGTAATCTGTTCAGTAAACCAGCAAAATGATACCCATATCGAATAGTGGTCCACCATACCTCCTACCCCTTGTTGGTACAGGCTTGTGGTTTGGAGATGCCATTCACATAATTCTATAGTGGCTGTGTTTATCACTAAGTGATGATACATTCTATATACTCTCCGAGTCTAGTTTCTGGGGCGTCGCTATTGACTATCGTACCAACCAACTAGAATCGAGTTTAATACAGTTTCCTCTACACCAACCCCCAGTCTTCATGCGTGTGCTCGCTAAGAAGCAAACAATTCAAGAAGTTGATCTTCGACAGTGGTGGATAGGACTAAAGGATTCGCCATCATATTTATCATCATTGATGGGTCCAGTCAGATTAGCTCTTCCAATGACCGACGGCTGTTATCTAACGGAGTGATTTAACGACTCATTGAAAATTAACCAAACAGCTTGGTTACGAAGCATATGCGGGGCCATATTCCTTCTTCATGGCCTCCCTCACCATCTGACCGCAAAGCTTGGCTGTGGGATTAGTACTCACAGCCAAAGCTTTCGCAATATCGTTTCCGTACCTTCCTCCCAAAGCAAAATCTCTCGATGCCGCCTCTTCGAAGTCGTTCTTCGTCCAGGATTCCTCCCTTCTTCCGACAATGTTGATTTTACTGCCGGCCTGAAAGGACTTGGAGGTCATATGATAGATTGCTGCTCGTTGGGTGTGGGCGAGCGACAAAGTTTTCCCGGCTTGTGGCGATATAGCTGCGAATATGCTCTTCGGAGTTAGTAGGGAGATGGCCCAGTCCAGATCGGAAAGAGCTAGGTCTGCTGCTTGAGATTTCTCGAGCTCATCAACGTCACTTAGCAACCCTTTCAAAGCCTGATCCCCAGATAACAGCAGTGTATCTCCGTACAGCCTCCTGAAGACCTGTGCTCTATTATTTCGAGCGCTGGCGTATTTGGGGTATTCTGTTATGAGTTCCCCGAGTTTAGACAAGCATTGTCGATATTCTTGTATCGGCTCTGCTGTTTGTGCTGACCGCAAACCGGCCAGTTGCATCTCAAGCTGCTGCATAGCCAGTACGATATCCCGCTCTCTTCGAGAGACACGGTCATATACAGATGTGTCCGTTATATTGGGATCTTTGGGCAATGTGCCATCTACAAGAACGGCAGTTGTTGGGTTCGATTCCGGGTCCCTAATCTTCTCGAGGACGTTGAAGTCTCGACGGCTTAGGGAGCTTGTCGTCATGTTGAATATTTTAGGTCGAACTAAGATATCGTGACGGGGAATGGGTGCTAAGGTGCTTTCTGGGCAGATTTTGATGCGGGAATAGGAACAGCTATACGGCAGTTATAATGTGGCGATACAGTATATCGAGAAATATTAACTGGAATGGCCTCGAATAACTGGAATGGGCGATAAGTACAGCAGATATGCATGTAGGACGGCACGGCTTGATCAATGATAGACCAGCGCTCGAGTCATTAGCCCCGTACTCCCTTGTCATGCGTCCAGACAACATCGTTTCTCCACTTCGGCCCTCCGCGAACCTTCTTCACCTGCAGCACCTAAGGTCAGCGAGATAAGGGCATCATTTCTTCCCCTTCTAGCCGTCCTAAGCCATCTCGCCTCATTGGACGTACAGGCAATGGGTTGTATCGGATAGCTGCGCGTGGCCCGGAAAGATGAATTACGGGGAGCGGCTAGCTTCGGCAGTCTGACGTCTTTGTTTCCGGAGTCGCCGAATTTGGGTTAAGAGGCTCCACGACCCTATCACGTCGAGCGCATCGGTAAGCCAGCTTCGCAAATGTTCGTCTAACAACCCTTTCCCAGTAATGGTTGCCCGGGACGCTCCTTGCCGTATACGTTGGAGCCGGCATATGGGAAGGTGTGCGGAATTCGCCCCGACCTAGAGTCCCTAGCCTACCCCCCTTTAACCGTTATATCGTTAGGACCAGAGGGCAGGTAGGGATAGATGAATAGGTTAGGTAAGATGAAATTGAAGATCTCTCATATGTGTATTTCTATCTCTTAAGGTTTCCTCTGTCCGGATCTCGTATTCAAGACTATATTACACATATCAGCACTTACATAGCCAATCTATTCTTTCCCTACCTACACTTACCTATACCTATCTCTATCACCCTGGGTAAACCCCATAGAGTATAAACCAGTCAACCAAGTCACACAAATATGGCCCCCTCCGCGATCTCGGAATCTCCCCCTAGGTACTCCCCGCATGCAGACGAGTACGCCGTCCAGGCTGGCGTGCCCAACTTCCAGGGCTATGATCACATCACCTGGTGGGTAGGCAACGCAAAGCAGGCCGCGTCGTACTACACAACGCTCTTCGGTTTTGAGACGGTTGCATACCAAGGACTAGAGACTGGTAGCCGGTACTTCACATCGCACGTCGTAGCCTGCGGGGACATCCGATTCGTGTTCACATCGCCTATCCGCTCGTATGCTTATTTACCTAAAGACGAACCTATCACAGAAGGTGAGCGGAAGCGGCTCGAGGAGATGCACGACCACCTCGAGAGACACGGTGATGCGGTTCGAGACGTCGCCTTCGAAGTCGATAGTGTAGAGGGCGTATATAACCACGCCGTAGAACAAGGCGCCGTCTCCGTCCAGCCTCCCATGCTCTACCGCGACAAGCAGAACGGTGACGTGCTAACGGCTGTAATTCGGACCTATGGCGACACAACACACACCCTCATCTCGCGGCGGAACTACAAGGGCCCTTTCCTTCCTGGTTTCCAAGTGCGCTCGTCACCACCCTCCAGCACAATCCTCCCGCGCGTCGACCTCGCCCGCATCGATCACTGCGTCGGCAACCAGTCGTGGGACGACATGGTGGCCGCCTGCGAGTTTTACGAGCGGTGCCTGTCGTTCCACCGGTTCTGGTCCGTCGACGACAGCCAGATATGCACCGAATTTAGCGCGCTGCGCAGCATCGTCATGAGCAGCGCCAACGACGTGGTAAAAATGCCCATCAACGAGCCCGCGCCCGGCAAGAAGAAGTCCCAGATCGAGGAGTTCGTCGTGTTTAACTCCGGGCCCGGAGTCCAGCACATCGCGCTGCTGACCCACGACATCGTGGCTGCGGTTACGGCTATGCGTGCTAGGGGAGTCGAATTCATCGCCGTCCCGGATACGTATTACGAGACTATGAAGGAACGCATGCGTACGGAGAAGAGGAGCTGGGAGCTCGAGGAGGACTTCGAGACGTTGCAGAAGCTCAGCATCCTGATCGATTACGACGAGGGCGGGTACCTATTACAACTATTCACCAAGCCGCTTATGGACCGACCAACGGTGTTTGTGGAGATCATCCAGCGGCACGATTTCAGCGGGTTTGGCGCCGGGAATTTCAAGAGCTTGTTTGAGGCTATCGAGCGAGAACAGGCTCAAAGGGGAAACTTGTAAGTTGGAGGATACGGGAGAAAGAAGAAGATGATGCCCCTACTATGCTTGCCGGACGGCAAGTGAGGACGGGTAGGGCATATGGATGATATGCCTAATACCTAACGAGACCATGGCATGATAACATAGCGAGATTGATTTATAGACTAACTGCACGTCGTATCAACGATGGATGAAAGATATGATAGGATGGGATGGGATGGCTTGTGGAGAGCCGTGCTATAACTCTGTATATGTAGCCGCTATAGAGCTCTTTTATAAATAGAATAACTACCCAAGCTAGCTAGCTAACTCTCTGTCATCCGTTCCATTCAGATGCCATCTATACTCCTCTTCCTCCCGACCCCACCCTCCAACTAAGCGCACGAAGCGCCCTCTCTATACGAAAGAATAACCGCGTCCTCGAACGAGTCTCGTACAAATCCCCTATCCAGTAATGATAAGTATAAGTAGTAGTACTAGTATGCGGCCCCGCCAACGCCCCCTTTTCCATGCATCAATAAATAATAGTAGCCATATGCCAGCCAGAAGGCACGGCATTCCATCGAAAAATTCAGCCCCTAAGCAAGCAAGCAAGTAACAGACTACGCCAACCTTGTAAAAGACCCAATCTGATATATGATCTATCTCGCACCACGCAAAGAATTTTCTTTGAGCCCCGTCGAGGAATCTACGAATCTATCTCCATAGCGCCGTTACTACTACCACCACCGCCGCCGCCGGGATCGCCGTCCCTCGCGCCTCGAGTATCGCTCTGGCACCCGGGGCAATTATGCAGGACCTCGTGAGCGAATAAGTCGCAATCGATGCAGAAGTGATTCCTGCAGACCTCGCACGCGTACCTACCAGACTCGCTGAGACCCTTGGGCGGCGGTGCTTTTGCGCCACCACCGCCACCGCCGCCGGCCTTCTCCTTGCCCTTGACTGAGATTTTGGTTTTCGCGGGCTCGGGGAACGGCGTTAGACACGAGTAGCAGGCCTTGGAGCGCTTGGCTTCGGACCACGGTACTTCGACCCAGTTGCGTAGTGGGAATAGGTGGTGGTATGATCGGGCCAGATGTGTGGATAAGATGAGTGTGAGGCCGCAGCCGGGACACTCGGCGGGGAGTCTGCAGACGCGGGATCCGCAGCGGGTGCAGCCGTAGCCTTCGCGCGTTGGCCGGTTGTGGCATGCGCAGTAATGGGTACTGCCGCCGACCGCGAGGGTCCTCGAGGGAAAGCCCATCATGAGCAAGCTGGCGTTGCTCTGCTCTTGCGTGCGCGTAACGGGAGGCGTCGTGATTGCTATTAGTAAGTCTCTAAAATGCTCCTCGTGTAAAGCTATACTATAGCTGGAGTTGTCCCCTCCATTGGTCTTCGAGCAGAGTTCGTCGCAGATAGCTACTTGTGCGGCGAGGCCTACTATAGACACGCGTATCCTATCAGTAACTAGCGCATTAATCGTCTCATGTATGTCTCCCGGATCGCTAGACATCAAGGCGCCGTAGACTATCACGACCTCTCTTGTTCCATGCGATGGTGTGTGGCTATACCCAAAAAAAATCGTCAGTCATTCCGCTTCCTTCATCCTTTCCGATTAAGTTGTAAAAACCCACAATAGAGCACCCCTGCACATCTCCAGGGCATTTTGTAGACTTGGGTTTCCCTGAGGGTCCTGCTTGACCCAGCCCTGTAACTTCTCTAGGTGGTCTGTTGGGTTTCCGCTCATGTCGCTTATCCTGACCGCGACGCCGTCCCGCATGCCTATAATCGCTAGCTGAGAGATAGGGTTCTGTTCGAAGTATTCTCTCACGAATTGGGAGGCGTAAGCCATGGTCAGTTCGTACCTGCTGGGCAGCAAGTCCTTCTCGAGCATAGCAAAGGACATATCTAAGACCAGAACAAGGTGTCGTATGATACCGCGTTGTAAGGGCGTCGTATCCTTAAGTAGTCGCGCCCGCTTCTCCGCTTCGGCACGACCCTCGATCGCTCCCGTGAGTGTACCGTCGGCATCTTCGACGACTGTGTCCCACGACCGTTGGATATCTTCCCAGGCGGCCTTCGCGCCCTTCCGAGCACTCTTCTTGCTCTTATCGGTTCGATTCCGCGATCGCGTATCGTTTCGGGTACTGGATGTTACCTGGTGATCGCCGAACTCATCATCGGAGGCGTCATCAGCCTGAAATTCACCATCGGAGTCGGCCATGTTCTAATCGCGTTCTAAACTGGAGTTCGTGCTTGTACCGTTCGGATTTCGAAAGGATCGGTAAGAATGGAGTGTATAAAGTATCCTCCGTGTCGGAATGTGTCGTATTATGAAATTAGAAAAGAAGGGAAGAAAGGGAGGGAGACCTAAGCTGTGAATGTAGGTAGATACGCAGCTGGGGGTTTCCTATAATACCTGAAGAGCATTGTTGAGGGGCGTTCTAAAGAGTAGCATGACCCCGCAAACGATATGATAATCCCTGATATAGCGCTACCGAGGGATATTGCGATAGTCTTAGAGGACGTAAAGTGAATAAATAAAGGGAAGTTGTTAGGTATGGAGAGGTTTAGAAGACGAGGCTGCTACTCCTTGTTGAAATGCTATTGCCGAAAATATACAGCCTTGTATTTAGCTCTTGGAATTTAGGCCAATCAGAGAAGCTCTAGATAATAGGTTCATGTCATACAGTATGTAACCTAGAGTAGTACAAGTGGGGGCATACATGTTCATGCTGCTTCTACCTGCATACCTTCTTATGTACATAGGTACCTTGGTAGGTAGGTAAATAATGCCGGCTCACTCACGTCATGCAGCATTAAAAGAAGAAAAGAAAAAATTTCACTAACGTGGCTCGTCAAGCTTGGAACTATTCAACTGTACCATACGACCTCATATACATTAGTCGCACATATCCGGGGTATACTATCAACCACGCCTTTAACCTCTCCGCCAACTGGCGAATGGCACATCTGCCACCCTATGTATGAATATCACATCCCCCCTCTCTCCAAGCGTGCTCGCGTCGCTTCGTATTGCGCATGCGATCGTGCTTTTTCGGCCCACCCTTGTTTAAGATAACTAGGATTTCTACGTGCATTAAATTTTCAATGGTATTTTTTGTTATTGCTGTTCCCGGCAAAACGGCATGTTGCCCATGGGAAGCAGCGAAGGAATGAAAAGAAGAGAACAAGAACGGGTATATTGGTGAACCTGAACGCCGACGCCGCAGAAAAATCAGAGACAAAAAAAATTTAAGGGTAGCCTGTGGGCTGGCTAGCGATCGGCCAGTCGTCTTCAGTGATGCTCGACCAGAATACCCAGATCATAATAACCGAGAGCAGAGTGAAGAGCGTCTGAAATAACGCACCGTCGATCTTGCCACTAGTTCCGTTGCAAATGTACGGGCTGATGACGTAGTTGAAGACCTGGCCTATCGCGAACAGAATGGCAGCACCTGTGAGGTAGATCATGGGCCGAATCTCACCCAAGATTCTGAGGACGAGAACGGCTTCCAAGACAAAGAAGGCCACGAGGAAAACAAGCGGGGCGAGCTGGTAGAGTACGTAAAGTGCGATGTTTCGGTAATGGTCGTCGGCCCTGGTAATAAATTCGTTGGTCCAGTGAAATCCCGTATCGAGCGTGATATAACCGGTACCGACAAAGAGGATGGCGCCGGAGAGGAACATGAGTCCCAGGGAAACTGGAGTACCGTCATCGAGAATCTGATATCCCACGATGGCATTAAGTAGTAGAATCCATGTTGTCGCGATGATCATTCCGATGTGGATTCCGGTGAAGGCCTAAGTAACCAAGTTAGCCTCGCTAGCACCGACTATTAATATCGTCGAGATATTACGTACGACCCGCACTGTCCCATTAAGAGGAAACTCCCCAACGGTGAATATTTCGCATATCTCGATTATGATAAACCCGATGAGGAACAATTGCATCTCCCTGTAACTATGTTAGTCAAATAGTCTGCGAAGTGAAAGTACTCGACACGGACCTCCGGCCAACTGCAGCCTTCTTTCTTTCCGAACGCAACAATAGCAGTATTGAAACGACAATGGCGATACCACAAAGTAATATAGACCCTACTCTTTGTCAGCGGGTATTCATCTTATTTTGTACTACTAGACAAACCTAGATTTCCCAAGTAACGGCCACCAGATAGAGGAATGCCTTGTAGCTCGCAACCACCCCATCCGCCTCGTTGGTCATGACTCTCCGAGAGAACCTAATTCGTGTGTTAGCGACCTCGGGTGTTTGGCGGGATATTGCATAGCCGTGTTACTAGGCAGGCATACATTGCAGACCGGTAAAGTCGAATCGCGGCAAAACGCCTGAATAGCACAATAAGGTTAGCATAGTTTGTGAGCATAGTGAGAGTATATTGTCCATAATCTAGCTTGAGGAAGACATACGTCGAAATTACCAAAATTTGTCGACCCCATTTTCGTTGCGGCGCGAGGGAACCGCGCAAAGATAGATGGTTGAACGAGGTAGAGGCAGTTCGTCGGAGTACGGAACTTGAGATGAATAATGCTTTACTTTCTTAACTTGTCGATATAATGATATCCGAACGTGCACAGGTCCGTGATAAGCTTAGCCGATGGCCGTATTCTGAATTGAAATGTTATGGGTAGGTAGAGATTGCTGTGGATCTTTGCGCCAGATAGGTGAACGTAGCCTGACTCGCGTTTGCTCTTAAAATCGATTCGGTCTGGGGCTGGAAATGAGACCAAGGCTGGATCAAGGCTGGGTCGGTTATGAGTTATGATGCAGTCCAATTATTCCCCCACAAACTTCCCTCTCCAATTATGGTATCTCGAACCTAATCGTGATAATTCTTGTTTTCCAAGAAAGTGAGTTGATGTGTTTTTTTGTGTGATCCTCTACGGGGAGAGGGATTAGATGAGTAGATGGAAGAGAGAGGAAATGAGGGCATGCAGCTTGCGAGGTCCGGGGCCAAGTTGCACGTTAGTGTGATTGATCTTGCTAGGCCAACCTTTGGGGTCCCCTGGCGCCTTCTACAACGAGAGAGACGAAGCTACCCTGTGTAGGTAATGGCGTAGTAGACTTGGTAAGTAATCTATCGTAAGTGAGCAGGCGAGGAAGGTAAGAATCGATTCTGGTTGGTAGAAATTGGGAACAGCGGGTCTCCTTTAAATTGTCCCAAACCTATTTTGGTCACTCGAGGTCTTATTGTTCCTGAGAAAAGAGGCAGGAACAACGCGATTCGGCATACATTATAAGCAGGGATAAGAAATCTGGTTTGTCTGGTTTGTCTGGGTTTTTGCAGGGGGGGACGGCCAAATTTCAATTTCACGCTTTTGCAACTAGTCCGCGCCAAACCTCACCATCAGTTCGATTCCATCACAATATGAGGTACGAGCGCCAGAATATCGTTAAGTTTGAAGGCTACTGCCTATAGGTAGTTTTGTATAAGTTTGGAGTGAACCCAATAGCCTCCCTGACGTGCCTTACTGTAACATAGCAGAGGAGAAAAAAAAAATGTGTTCGCCAACCGGAGGACCAGATCAGCGCGATGTCTTGCATAAAAAAAAAAAAAGGCTGTACATCCTTCATGATTCCTGGCTTAGCAAGTTACGTGTAGGAGCTAGTCTAAGGGATCTATCAGCCTGTAAGTAATTTGGATTGGATCATCTTCATGCGTGATGAACTGTATTGTACATAGTAGCCCCTTGCGATAAGAAGGTTTGTTGTCCGCCCACTTACAGACGACAACCTTTATCTTATTAGCTGTGCTGTCTGTACCTCACGTCCCATCGCCACATCTTCATTTAACACGTTTTGCTGTCATTGTTGGGAACATATTCGTAGCGTTTCTCGATACTCGTTCTCTGGCCAACTCGGCCAAGCCTTCGCATAGGATAATGTATGTCGTGAACTTGGTTATGTATGTACGGATCCGTACATATCCGTACCTACAGACATGACGAAAGGGCTGCTGAGTACCTAGGTACCTCGATATGGCTGCTTATGATAGGTATGATACCTTTATTTTGCGCTGCGTCCCTCGCTGGGCCAATGTTACAACTTACCACTACCCGCCGACCCTTGGTAAGGTTCTTCATGCAATCTTGGATGAATTCGCTTACGGTCCGTTTGCCAGAAACGCACATACATACATAGACGCCTTACATGTGGATCAAGCGCATCAACCACTGGCGCCGTATCGTCAATTCTACTGGCTTGGCAGTAACTTGACGGTATTGTATATTGTATCTGATGAGAGCTGCCCTGAGACATGGTAACCAACCTCATAAGAATGCATCGTACAATACCTATAAAATTGAGTACAACCCACCTAATGATAGTTGCGAAGCATTGCTCTGTCTTGGACCGCCCTCGCCGGGCTTGTAAACCGCTTAGAGCGCCGCAACCATCATGTCTTTAAGGGTCCCATGCCGGTCATACTCCACCGCTTGCTACGGAAGTGGAACCCAAGTAGTTATCGTGATGGCATTTGAGTTTCAATATCCGCGTCTTTGGGATTCTGGGTGTTATTGAGGCGGCAGCGCGCATGGTGAGATTAGTGAGATAGTTTGGCAGGGAATCTTAACGTTTCAGCCACATTTCTTCATGCTTCTCAGGCCCCCATATCCTACGCGTCGACGTCAGTGGTCGATAGTGGTGGTGCTAAGCCCGTTCTTAATTTGAACTTATGTTTACCATCCAACCAGTCAATGCTCAAGAATAGACTTTCCAAGATAAAAATAATCTCCAGTAGTTTTTCTAGACTTCTGGCTTGGGATGGTGGATGTATGGGTTGAAAGTGTATGTAAGTAAGCGACGTGCTATATCGGAGCTTCTAGATACTCCGGCAAAGTAAGCTTCCATTGTATGTAGTGCTTGATTAATGCAGGTTGTACTTTATAGTCGAAATAGTTATCAAGTCTCGAACAATGCCCAGGACTGAGGGACTGAGCAACTGCGCTCAGCAGTGTAACGCCGAAGTTATTCGATGAGAGTAGCATAGCCCAAACTTACTATAAATAATAACGTTTGCTAGAATAAGCCCTAAAGGTGGGTTTCCTGAACACATCGTGGCCTAAGCTTAAATAGAGTCTGTGCTACGAGATGTCGATGAGATTAATAAAAGTGGTGAGTCGAGATGCGGACTAGGTTAACCTAGTAGGGATGTATTAGCCCTTAAGAACGTTAGCAATACCCCAGTATAGAGTATTTATTTCCACGTGCGTGCGTTCGATCAAGGACTCTCGGGCGAGGGGGATTGAGGGGAACCGAGGGGAAGCTGGATGATCAGCTTAGCGCTCTTCGGGCTCTACAGTAAGAAGGACCTCGTGATCCAAGCGTACCCCAACATCTAAGTAGCAATCTGAGACATTGGTAGAACCGGGAAAGGGTTCATTCTACATAAAGAGGGATGTTTTCTGGGGTGTTGCATCCTCAAGTGACATTTGTGTTGACCGCCCGGGGAAAGCAGTAGTGTACATAGTATTCCGTATTTCATGCTATGATGCCATCGTGGGTCTGTTTGCATTCTGGTGCATACACTACTGGAGCCGCCATACCCAGACGGCTGAATATGCAACAAGTCAAACACCTGACCCGACTGGTGTGCTCTTTGGTCCTCTGCATATCGTTGACTTCATTCGCTGAATTGACAGATTGAGAAGAAAGGATTTGACGTGTGTTGTAGAATATTGTATGCATCTTCTTAAAGAGGGTCTGATTTGCGTAGCTTGGCTTTTTACTAGAGGGCACCCTTATAAGGCACTATAATAACCCAAATTTATTTATCTTATTAATAATTAAAATATTACATAATATCGAAAAATTTTAAATAAAAATTATACGTTTAAAATAAATAAATAATTTAATTTTAATAACTTTTTTATTTATTTAATTAACTTATTATACTTAATTAATTAATTTATTTATTTAATTTATTTAACTTATTTTTTAACTTAATATTTCTTTTATTTAATTAATTAATTTAAATTTATTTAATATTATATTTTTAAAATATTATTATATTTAATTAAAAATAAAAATAATATTTTTTTTAACGTTTTATTTAATATTTAACTTTTTTTAAAATAATAACCGTTTTTATATTTATAAATTTAATTAACATTATATTACGTAATAAATAAAAATAAGCATATTTATTAACTTATTATTTGGTTTACGCCTTTTTTAATAACGTTACGTTTTTATAATAATAAATTTTTATATTTTAAACGTTTTATCTTTTAAAGTTTAATCCTTTTTTTAAGTTATAATATGGTTATTTTATTAGCGTTAAGTATTTTATAAATATTTATAAATTTATTATTAAATTTATACGGATTTTTAAAGTGTAATAATTTATTTATAATGGTGGTATTATATGGTTTTAATTAAGTTTTATTTTTTTTTTTAAATATATTTTTTTTTAAAATAAAAATAATTATTAAACTTTACGTAATTAATTTATAATTTTTTACTTATAAACTTTACGTAATTAATTTATAATTTTTTACTTATAAATTTTACGTAATTAATTTATAATTTTTTATTTATAAATTTTACGTAATTAATTTATAATTTTTTACTTATAAATTTTACGTAATCGATTTATGATTTTTTATTTATAAACTTTACGTAATTAATTTATAATTTTTTATTTATAAGTTTTACGTAACCGATTTATAATTTCTTATTTTTAAAATTTATTATTTGGTTAAATTTATTATTTGTTTTTAAAATTATATTTTAATATTAGTTTTAAAAAGCGATTATATATTTATTAAATTTATATTTTTTATTATTAATAATTTAAGGTATTTTATAAAAATAAATATTAAAAAAAGGTAATATTTAAAAAGTATGTTTTTTTTATTACTTTTAATAATAATATACTTTTTTTAAATTTAACTTATAATTAAATTTATATAATAAATATAATTATTAAATTATAATTTTACTTTATTAATTTTAAATTATTTATAACGTTTTTTAGTTTTATTATTAAAAAAAATAAAAATAAAAAATAAGTAATTTCTTTTTTTTATTAATTTTATTAAAGTTAATATATTTTTTTAATAATTAAAATAAAAACGAAATTTTATTTATATTTTATTTTTAATTAAAGGCGTTAATGTTTAAATTATAATTTTAATTTAATTGAAATTTAATGGTAAGTATAAACATTTAATAAAGGAATAAAAGATTTCATCTTTTTATATTAATATAATTTTAAGATTTAGAAATTATAGTAAAAGTAATTTATTAAATATTAATACGTTTTTTAATAATAATATATTTTATATTATTTATTTTTAAATAAATAAAGTTAATATTATTAATAATGTTTATTAATTTTTTATACCGGTTATAATATTTATTAAACTTATTTTAAATTTTTATGGTATTATAAAATTAAAAACTTAATAAACGTTATTTTTTTTATATTAAAAATTATTTTTTATAAATATATAAGTATTAAATATTAATTATATAAATTTTATAAATTTATGTAATAAGATATTATATTTAATGTTATAATAATACTTTTTTACGTAAAATATAAAGATAACGTTATTATAACAAGTAAATTGTTTATTTATATTTTATATTTTAATAAAATTAATAAGAGTTATAAAATTTATTTATAATTTAAAGTTTATATATAATAAAATATTGTTACGATTAAATTACGTTAAAGTGAATGGGATAAAAAAAAAAGATATTATTATTATTTATAAGATTACGGTTACCGTAATTATTATATTATGAAATTTTTAAGGAAATATATTTAAAAAAAAGTATAAAAATTAATATTTATTAAAATTATTTATGATTATTTAAGGATTTAAATTATGGTTATTTGTATATTATAATTAATTTAAAATTTAAGATAAAAGGAATTTTATTTTTTTATAGGTTTTTATTTTATTTTTTTAAT